CTCTCCTCTCCTCTCCTCTCCTCTCCTCTCCTCTCCTCTCCTTTTTCCTCTTTCCCTTGGTGATACTATCTGACAAACCTTTGCTTGTATTATCCCAAGAGCAGAAGAGGGAACAGTTGTGGTCAATCAGCACGAACAACTCAGCAGTTTTTACAGGAATAACATTGTAAAAACAAACAACTTGGAAAGACTTGAGAACTCAGATCAATGCTGTGACCAGTCATGAGTAATGATGAAGGCTGCCCATCCCGGACAGCGAGGTGATGAATTTAGCATATGGAATGACACATACAGTTTTGGACATGGCCAAGGTAGAAATTTGTTTTGCTTGACTGTGCGTATTTGTTATAACGCTTTTGCTTTTCTTTTCTTTCCTTTCTTTTTCTTTTGAGTCGGAGGGAGGTGGAAGGGAGAGAAAATAAATATTTTTAAATTGGAAAAATAATAAAAAAGAAGAAATTCCTTAGTTTCCATCTACCTGGCTTTACAGAAGTTATTAAGTCTTTAATTGGAAGATTAGGAGTTGCAGGGTATGCAGTCATTCTGTAAGAGCCACGAGGCACTTCTATAAATGCCTGAACCTTGTCAGACTATACTTGTAATCCCGATTTTGGTTCTTGGTGCCATATTTTAGGAGGGATGATAAAAACTAGAACATGTCTGGAGAAGAGCAACCAGGGTTCTAAAAACTGAGTTAAATAAAAACTTATTGAGGGAAAAAAGGTTTTGTTTATTTATTTATTTTTAGATTAGATTTAAATATAGAGAACCTTATTGGTCATCTAGTCCTGCCCCTCATTTTATACCTGCGGGAACTGGGACCTACAGAGGTTAAGTGATTTGTCCAAAACCACATAGAAAAAGTCTGGATTTGAACCCAGGTCCTCTGGCCCCAAATCTATTGTTCTTGTTATCTGACCACATAGCCTCAGGTAATTACCAAAGGAAATTGGAGAAGAGAAGCTTGAGGGAAATCCCCATCACAGATTACCTAGGGAAAGAGGGATTAGCCTGATTTTTAAAGGGCTCCATTAGATATAACTAGAATCAATGGACAGAAGTAAGAGGGAGGAGGAATTCAGCTCTTTGGAAGAAAGAATTTTCTTTTCAGGCAATTGGGGTTAAGTGACTTGCCCAGGGTCACATAGCTAATAAGTGTCAAGTGGTCAAGTGTTTGGTCTGAGGCCAGATTTGAACTCAAGTCCTCCTGACTTCAGGGCCATTGTTCTATCCACTGCGCCACCTAGCTGCCCCAAGAATTTTTTAAGAACAATATAGAAAGTGGAATAATTATTTGCTGTGAGAGGTAATGAACTGCTCATCAGTGGAAGTATTCCAGCTGAAGTTTGATGACCTGTTGTCAGTGATACTGTAGAGGAGTTGGGGTGGGGTTGGGGCAGGGGCTGGACAGGCTGATCATGAGCATCTTTATTCTATGCTTCTATAGAAAGATAAGCAAAACCAAGCTCTACCAAATGTATCCATAGCATGCAGCCTTGGTTTCTATAGTGAATATAGTCTATATAATACCTAGGCACATCCCTTTTTTCTGTACATTGATAAATTTTATGGCAGTTTTAAACCAAGGGAACTTTTACATTACTTCTACCAGGTTAGGAGGTCTATTTTGCCCTCTGCAAATGATGGGTGAACATCTCCTTGGCTTTGCTTAGGGCTTGGTCAGCTGGAACCTCCACATGAGGGGCCACTCCTACTCCCTCCCAGGAGGGTCTGTCTCCAGAGCCAACTGATTGGGCAGTAGGGATGGTGATGTAGAGGTCAGTGTCATCCACATGGTAGGTCTGTGGGGGTTGGCAGCCACCGCTGGTCACTTCCCCAATGACCAAAGCCCTCCTGAGCCCCTGCATAATGTATACAAACTCTTCTGCAGCACCCGCTGTCATGCTGCTGGTGAGAATGATCACGCTCTTTTTGGAACCATATCGTTCACCTGCAAGAGACAAAGTTGATAGAATGTAAGGCCTGGGAGGACTGAGAATGTTTCATTTTTGTCTTTATATTGCTAACACACAGTAGGTCCTTAACAAATGCCTCTTGATTGATTGAAGGTCTCAAAAGTAATGAGTCAGAAACATCCTCCAGGGGAGGGTAAGAAGGTCTCAGGGTACTTTCTTTTTCCAGTCTATTGCTGACACACTTTGTGGTGATGGAAGGAGCACTAGAGGCCAGAGGTCTAATCCTGACTTCTCCGTCTAGTACAATGCCCATATTTTACAACCAAGACACCTGAAGCCACCAGAAGATGAAAGGACTTGCCTGGGGTTATGGATATTGTAAATGGCAGAACTGGGATTTGAACCCAGGTCCTCTGACTCCAATTCTGTTATTCCTCTCCACTCTCCCCCCACTGTTCCACTTTCTTACTTAACATTAACTTACTTAACATTAACATTTCTTACTTAACATTACTTAACATACTTAACTACTTACTTAACATTAGCTTTTTGTAGAGATCAAATAAGATAATGAATGTAAACATTTTTTGTCATATCAAAAAACTATATACATTTCTCCATTTTAATGGAAATCTATCGGCGTGTGGCATCTTTCCTACATACAGACCCATATTCCTGGTCTTATACCCTTTAAGACTAGTGGGAGAACATGTATTCTTGACATTTATTGTCTTGCAGTAATTGATATGTGTGTGTGTGTGTGTGTGAAAGTCTCTCCCAGGGTGAATTTTGATTTCCTCAGAACAGAGAATTGTACAACTCTAAAAAACTGGAAATTAGTGACTCGGATAAAGATAGAGTTGCTGTACTTATCAACTTTGCAGATGAGACAAGAGGCAACTAGGTGGATCAGTAGATAGAATGCAAGACCTGGAGTCAGGAAGATGGGAGTTCAAATCCAGCTTCATACACTTACCAGCTGTGTGACTTAGGGCAAGTTATTTAACTCTATCTCAGTTTCCTCATCTGTGAACTGGAGACAATAATAACAACTACTTCTCAGGGTTGTTGTGAGGATCAAATGAGGTAATACTGGTAAATGCTCTGCAAACTGTAAAGCACTATATGAACGCCGTTATTATTATGTCTACACCATGCTGGGAGGGATAGCTAACCCACTGTATAGCAGAGTCAGGTTACAAAAGACTCTTGAGAAGCTAGAGCATTGGGCTAAATTGAATAAAGTAAAATTTAATAGGGATAAATGTAGCTGTACTCTTGGACACAAAAAAAATTTCACAAACATAAAGTGAGGGAGGTATAGTTAGTAGTTGTTCTGAGAAAAATCTGGGGGTTTTAGTGGACTGTCAGATCAATATGAGCTAGCTGTACAATGAGTTTTCCAAAAAGGAAGATGAAATCTTGGGTTGGTTAAGAGAGGAATTGTTTTTGGGAATATGGAGGCAGCTAAGTAGTATAGTTGGGCCTGAAGTCAGGAAGAACTGAGTTCAAATTTGACCTCAGATAACTTGCTAACTGTATGACCCTGGGCAAGTCATTTAATCCTATTTGCCTCAGTTTTTCATCTGTAAAATGAGCTGGAGAGGGAAATGGCAAATCACTCCAGTATCTTTGCCAAGAAAATTCCAAATGGGATCACTAAAAGTCTGACAAAACTGAACAAGTGACTGAACCTAGAGTCCCACTGAACTCTGATATCATCATATGGAGCACTGTGTTCAGATCTAAGTGCCACAGCTTAAGAGGAATGTGGATAAACTGGTGAGGGTCCAGAGGAGAGCAGTCAGGATGATGAAGGGCCTGGCATCCATGTCATATGAGGACCAGTCTTAGGAATTAGAGATGTTTAATTTAGAGAGGACAGTATGACATGGGGTGAGGACATGGGGGATGTCTTCAAGTATGAGAAGGATTTTGTTGTTGGAGAGATTATACCCACTCTCTTGGGCCCAGAGGGAAGGGCAAAATGACGAGCAATGGGTAGAAGTCATAAAGATACAATTTAAGGGTTGAAATCAGGAAGATCTTCCTCCTAATAACAGTTATCCAGCAGTGGAATGGGCTTTCTGCAGAAGTGATAGCTTCCCCTTCCTAGAGACCTTCAAACAGAGGATGGACACTTCCTCACTGGTTATGTCACAGTCTGTGAGTTGGACTAGAAGATCACTTAGGTCTCACCCAATTTCAAGTTCTCTGATTCCATGCCAGTTCTTATACCTCCTCCAAAATATAATATGAACCAAGATTTAGAGCTCTAAGGAATGCCAGAAGCCATCGTGTCCAACGCCCTCATTTTACAGATGGGGAATCTGAGACCTCACAAGTTAAAGAGACTTGCCTGAAGTCACAGAGGTAGTAAGTGCCAGAGCTAGGATTCGAACCCAGGTCTTCTGACGTTAGAGTTAGTACTCTTTATACTACGCCCTGCCTCCTGGTATAATCGAAAGTTGCTTCAACTCTTTGGATTGTTGGAATTGCCTGGATTAGAAGATAGCTGGGGGTGGGGGCAGTGGTATTTTTCCCCTCATACTGGTTTCTCAGGGGTTTACCAACAATGCAACATCATTATAAAGCTATAAGTGTTATGAATTCCCAGACGTCAGACACATCTATGTTCAAACAGAAGGACGAGGAAAAAAAGTCTAACAGCAAGAGGACTTTTTTTAGTTATCTCTATTAGGCTTATCTAAATCATGGCTCCCCTCCATTGAACTATGGAATCACAAGCACATTTTCTGGACTTTCTAACATGCTAGCACACGCCCTCATAGATAAAATGCTGAGCTGAGGTTTTAAAGACTTCATTTCTAGTCATGGTTTCTCATTACTTGGGTTCCCTTATATGGGGTCTTAGCCTCTCAAAATCACAGAATATCAGGATTGGAAGGGCTATAGGAGGTCATTTTGTCCAAAAATTTGTTCAAACATAAATTCTCTCTATTACATCCCTGAAAAATGGTCAAGGAATTTTGCTTTTGTTTATTTTTACATCATCTTCATTTCTGAATATCTTTCCTTCCCCTCTTTTACCCAGTAATCTGTCCCTTGTAACAAATATTTAAAAAGAGAATAAAATTGTTCAGAAAACTCAGAACATCAACAGTTTTTGACAGCATATATAATATTCCATACCCATAGTTCCCCACCTCTTTAAGAAGGGTAGAGACTTGCATTTTCTCAACCCTTCTCCAGGGTTAAGTTTGATTAATTAGTTATGCAGCATTTCATTTCATTTTTTTCTGTTTTCCCTCCTGTTTACAGTGGTACTATTGTTGTGTACAGCCTTTTCTTGATGGTGTTTATTTTACTCTTCATTAGTTTATATAAGTCTTCTCATGGTTATCTGAATTTCTCAAAGTCATCATTTCTTTCAATATAGTAATGTTCCATTGCATCCCTGTACCAAAAGTTCTTTATCCATTCCCAATTGACAGGTACCTACTCAGCTTTGGAATTCCTACCCTGGAGCTGTGCCATCTTGACTGGTGGCTAAACAAAGTACAAACCATGTAGTCCAATTGGTCTAGTTGATCCTTGACCAGATCATGCTTCTCATGCCATCCATTTGTCTACTCAGGCCATCTGTTCATCTATCTTGTCACTATCTATTTTACCATCCCTCACCACTAGTTTTCTACCTCTGGGCACAGAAATCAGAACAATAGTACTTTTACTTTTGTAAAGATGTATTAATCCTCTTCTTTATGGATCTTTATAGATCAGCTTATTATCTTTGTGACTTAACAGACTCAAACTCTTTTCCCCGGCCACTACTTACATAAATAAATAAAAAGTTAGATAAACAAACAAACAAATAAATATATGTATATTACTGCTATTCTTGTTATATACTAATATTATATATCCTATTATATACTAATATTACATATTATATCCTCCTCCTCCTCCTCCTCCTCCTCCTCCTCCTCCTCCTCCTTCTTCTTCTTCTTCTTCTTCTTCTTCTTCTTCTTCTTCTTCTTCTTCCTCTTCTTCTTCCCCGTACCTTTCCCCCTCCTTTGCCCCCACTCCTCACCTCCCCCTATTACGATGTTGGGTCTTTGAGGGCAGTGATGCTCTTGACTATTGCATTTGTACCTCCAGTACTTAGCACGGTGCCTGGATTATATTAAGCATTTAATACATGTGGTTTCATCCATTCATTATTTTTGGTGTTTTGTGGATACAAAAATTCAGCTGTTAATATCTTTTATTATCCTTGACTTTCCTTGCCGTCTTCAGCTCATTATAAGCTTTGTATAGGACCTTTATCTCTGTCTTGGACCTTCTTGAGGATATATGCCTAGATATGAGGTCTCCAAGTCAAGAGTATGGACCAGGGGTGGGGAACCTGTGGCCTTGAGGCCACATGTGGCCCTTTAGGTCCTCAAGTGTGGCCCTTTGACTGAATCCAAATTTCACAGAACAAATCCTTTTATTACAACACTTAGAAAAGACCTCAGGTTCCCCACTCTGGTATAGACATTTTAGGCACCTAAAAATATAATTCCAAATAGCTTTCTAGAATGGCTGAATTAATTCATGGCATCACCAGTGGTATATCAGAATGCCTATTTTCTGCAGCCCCTCCAACATCTCCATCTTTTTTTTTTAAATCATTCACTGTGTTTCTCTTAATGTAAAATAAAATTGCATGAATTTTTTTGGTTGTTGACTCATATTGAACTTAAAATCCACTAAAGCCACTGGATCATTCATCTTCTCAATCTTGCACATTTGAAATTGTTTTAACAGAGCTCAGGTTCTATTAAATTAAGAACATTTATCCCTATGAATTTCATTTCATTTGCTTTTATCCAGTTTTCTAACTTGTCAAACTTTTTTGTACTGAGTCTTTCAACCAGTTAATTAGCTATCTCTTCCAGCTTTGCAACATCTGCAAATGTGGTAAGTGTATCATTTATATCCATATTTAATTCACTGATTAAAATGTTAACCAGCACAGGACCAAGCACGGATCACTGAGGTACTTCACTACAGACTTCCTTCCTTTTGACTACAGGATCTCTCAAAGCTTTTCTTAGATTAGGGGATCAGTGACTATTCTTCTGATCCAACTGTTCACCTGGTTCTGAATCTACTTTGTTATACTATCATTTAGATGATGTTTTTGAATAATTTCCACAAGAATAATAGGAGAGAGACTTTATCAAATGCTTCAGTGAAATCTATGGAAACTATATCTATGGCATTGTCTTCTAGTAACCTTGTCAAAAAAAAAAAGAAGTGAGATTAGTCAGGTATGATTTATTTTTGATGAAACCATTCTGGCTCTTTGCTATTATCTATTTCTTCTCTAGAGATTTACTAGCCATATCTTTAATAATATATACTGGAACTTTGCTTGGAATTGAAGTCAATCAAGCTCACTGAATTGTAGACTATTTTCTTCATTTTTTTCCTGTTGTTGGAAATTGGGACACCAGTTGTATATCTCTTCTATTCTTCTGGATCTCTCAAAGGTCATTGACAATAACTCAGCAATCATGTATCTGCCAGCTCTTCCAGAATGTAGAATTCATCAAGGGTAACTAGGTGATCTCTTACTATAACCCTGCTTATCTTGGGTATTAATACTCTCTCGGTCATTTTTTTCTTTCTTCCTATGAGTTTAAAGTCATTCTCCTTAATAGGAATTAGAAGCAAGATGTGAATTGGACAGCCCTGCTTTCACTCTGTTGTCCATTATCATCTCCCCACCCACCCAAGCTACAAATTGGGCCCTCTCTTTGGTCCTTCTCTTTTCCCCTGACTTAAAACAAACAAACAAACAAACCAAAAATAATCACCCCAAAGGTCATTTTATTGTCCTTTGCTTTTCTTGTCATCCCCAACTAACTACTCTCATTATTCCTGCATTTGTATTCCTCTTCAATCATCTGCCTTTGTTTCTATCTTCTGTATATCTTTTAAAATTTAAGTTGGTTGATGAGTTCCTTGGGTGCCTACATCAATCTCTTTAGACCAATTTCTTTCTTCCTCTAAGAAATCCTTTAAAGACCACCTGGTCCAACATCACCTTATGCAGTTATGTATTTGCCTAAAATTACTGTTCTAAACCGGGGGGTCTCAACCTGGGGTCTGTGAATTTGGATTTCTGAACTTTTAAAATATTTTGATAACTGTTTTTCAATGTTTTTGGTTTCCTTTGTCATCTTAGGGATTTTACATTTCATATCTTTAAAAAAATCATTCTGAGAAGGGATCTCTAGGCTTCACAGGATTGCCATGACACAAAAAAGGTTACAGATTACCTAATTCATGCTGAAGAGCAATTTGAAAAGAAATCATGTTGTAATGAAAACCAAATGGGTAAAAGTTTATTCCCCAGATACTCCTCTCACCTGCAACATGAGGCTGTGTCCAGATTTCACTGATGGAAGCATTGGGTCTGTTGTAGATCCGGTCCAGAAGGATCTTTTGACCTTCATCAAAGAAGTAGGAGCACAGAGCCGAGATGGAGGAGGTGGGACCTCCTATGTTGAACCTGTTGGATATTAACAAGAGTTAGAAATTCTAGAAACCAAACTAAAGCTGCCTGATAATAGAAGTCATTCCATTTTCCCATCTTGCATCCTATTGTAGGCATAGATAATTTTTTTTCTAAATTGTTTTCTGGGTTATGATTTTATCATGAAATTGTAAAATCCCAAAGTTGGGAAGAAATTCACTGGCCTGCTGTGTCACATGGCCCTTTACCATGTCATATAGTCTCAGTTTTCTCATTTGTAGTATGAGAGACTTTGGAATAGGCAATATCTAAAATTTCTTCTATTTTAGAAATTCTAAGATGTTCAATTTCACAATAGCTAAAAGGTGTAGTTATTATTTTGGGATTTGGACTTTTTACCTGGGCCTCAGTTTACTCATTTGTAAAATGAGGGGGTTGGAATAAATGACCGCTGAGGTAAACTTCCACATTCATTTAAGTTTTTTTTTTTGAGGCAATCAGGGTTGAGTGACTTGCCCAGGGTCACACACCTACTAAGTGTCTGAGGCTGGATTTGAACTTAGGTCCTCCTGACTCCAGGGCTGGTGTGACACCTAGTTGCTCCCACATCCATTTAAGTTTAAGCTGCCTTATTAAACTTTCTTGAGGCTAGACAATCAAGAGCCCAATTAACCAAACTCTGACTTATGATTACAGATTTTTTAGGTATAAATGCTCACCCTGAGAATATAATACTTGGCTCTCCCAGTTAGAACTTGGTCCTGCTCCTACCAACCCCTGAATCTTTGAAATTAGAAATCCAGGATATGAAGGTATCCCATTGTACAATAGATCGAGAACTAGAAGGGGCCTTAAAGGTCATCTTGTCCAACAAGAGTCCCAGAGAAGCTACATTCCTAACATATAAGTGACAAATAGCAGAGTCAAGTGTCACATCCAAGGATTGTGTCTTGAAACTAATTTCTCCTTCCAATGCAACCCAACCTTCATTCCTTTATAAATTGTAAACATCATAGTTTAGAGGTAAAGGGTTATCCTTCTGGCCACCATTTGGGCACCAGTAAATTTCCAACAGAGATTATTTTTAACAATAATCAAAGAACCCCAGAAAAAGCCATTAGAGTAGGGCTTCATGAGAGGACAGGATATTGACCTAGTGGAAATCTTATCAGCCACTCCTCCTCTTCCTCCCCATAACCCTCCCATTTCTCTGCCTCTCTTCCCCTAACATAGGTTGGTCAGGGTAAGTAGCAACATCATGAAATATAGGACAATGTCAAACAATTTTATTCTGTTTCTATGAACTCCCAGTGAAGAAATAGCCAAGTTTATGTTTTTGCGGAGTCTAGTGCCACCTAGTGATCACTAAGGGTGGTGATTCCTCAGTAGGGAACTAAGAGGAATGAACCTCCGACTCCCAAGGTTATTGTCCTTTCTTTGGCAGAGTGGAGGGGGGTTCCATGCTTCCTCCGTTTCCCTCCCACCTTCTCTTACTTTGCCTCATCTTATGACTCACACGTCTCTTTGATCTCCTAAAAATAGTGGGGGTCATGAGTGAAAGTGATACAGCCTGTGCAGGAGGACAGCTCAGAGCTTGCTCAGTGCCTAAATGATCAGGAGAGGTCAATCTCTGCCTTTTCTGCGTGTGAGGCAATTGGAGTTAAGTGACGCCTAGGGTCACACAGCTAGTGTCGAGTGTCAGAGGCCAGATTTGAACTCAGGTCCCCCTGACTCTAGGGCCCGTGCTCTATCCACTGCACCACCTAGCTCCCCCAATCTCTGGGTTTTAATACCCTATCTCTGTACATAATGATAAATATTCTCCCACACACATCCAGATAACCTGAGCATCCTTTATGCATAGATTTGAAATCTGGGTTTTAGCTTTGGTTCTGCCACTAACTAGCTGTGGGATTTTGGATATGTCACCCCATCTTTTTGACTCTGATTTCCTCCTTTGTAAATGGATTGGACTATATGAACCTTAAGGTCTCTTCTAACTCCAAAATTCTTTTATGTTTCTGAAGGGGCATGGGGATAGAATTGGACCTATCATTTCATTAATACAGGGATCTCCCAGGTGAGGAAGCTTTCTTTACCAATGCAGGTTAATACCCTTTCTGAAATGTATTTATAGTTCTAGAGTATTGTCTAGAACAGCTTGCATACTGTTCTCTAGAGAACTCTAGAGTATCCCAACCATTGGGGGACATTTAACAAAATAAATAAAACATAATACAACATAGATAATGTTAATATGTGATTTCCTAAGCTAAATATGCTTCCCCCAGGGATTCTTATGCATAGTTGAATGGCTCCTGGTTCCACTGGTCTAGAACATTGAGAGTTTAAGTGATCTGCCCAGGATTACACAGCCATATATGTCACAGATGAGTCTTGAATTTAGGTATTCCTGATTCCTAGGAGTCTCTCTTTATTCTCAAAGCCATACTACCTCTTGCTCCTGAAAACCTATGCTTGAATTAATTTTTCCCCCAAATCAAGAGGAAGGAGATACTAAGCATCTATCTATCTATCTATCTATCTATCTATCTATCTATCTATCTATC